GTTTTCTAGTTTCTTTATGTAGTTGGTTTATGTTGAAGTCTTACGGGCAGGCTTTTGCCATGCGGCCAGCGCTGCACAGTCTTAAATGCACCATATCCCTCGTTATAAGGACCACGCATTTTAAAGCAATACTTTTTCAGTAATGTGGAAAAGATGAGTGGGGCTGTCATATGCAGTCACCTGTGCCTGGCTTTGTGAGATGTTGATGGGTTTCCGCATAATTCCTGGTTGCTGTAGCAGGCCACTGGAACTCGTGTAATAGTGTAGCTCTTAATCTTGAAGTGAGATGATGGGGGCTTTTTTTTCTTCGGAAGCTTTGCTTTCCCCGGGGCCGGGGGGGGGGGGCATAGATTCTGATGTCTGTTCTTTGAAATTGGGCAATTGGTTCAAGTATTTCTTGTTAGGCTCACTGTACTCTTCCTGTGTCTCAGTTGCTCTTCCAAGTGAAATTGTATTCTCCCTTTTCTTTCACATGAAAGCAGTGGAAGTCTGTCGATGGTCTAAGCAAGCACCAACATGACCACAAGATGTCCCAAGAACATGGTGTGCTTGGCTTTTCTTATTAAATGCTTAGTCTGTATAAAACTTTATTTACTTGTGAATTTTTAAGTATTTGCCTATTAATTAATTGATCTTTTTCATATGCTGTTAATTTAATTCTGCAGAGATGATCGGTTCCAATACTTAAATTTTTGCCTTTGTGTTGCCCATTCATTCCTGTACAGAATGAATGCGGTGTCAAAAAAGGCAAACAGGAATCCTTGCTCAAACTGTTTAAGGAGCTGGTTATTTACCTTTCTCCTCCCTGTTTTTGCAAGGACAAAAAAAAATGTGTAGAAATTGTATGCTTGAGCAGTTATGTAGTAGATTTTATGCTTCAGTCTTTTTAAATAAAGAATCTGACAGTTATTAAAGAAGGAGAAACTAAAATGGTAATGGCTACTTTTAGCATTGTTTAGCTGTCCTGTTTATCATGATAACTTCTTACACCTGTGCTGCAAGTAATTAGTACATAGTATTTCAGACTCCTGCAGTGGCCTTTAGTTTTTCCATTGCAAAAAGATGTCTACAGCTTCAGAATACTCAGCTACAGAAAAGAAGAAAATCTTCTTTAATGAGGAAAAAATGTGTTTTGCCTTTGTGCATTTGCCTTTTTGGTTTTTATGTCCGGTGTCAGAAAGGTATAAAGAGAATCCTTCTGTAGGACTATTTGGTATTGGACAATAGTGATTCTACTCTTTTGCTCTACATAGAACAGTCTTTCTTCGATGCACTTTTGAAAGTGTAAAGTATACTTTAATATTGCTAGCAGTGGCGGCCCTTGCCTTGGGGATTGTGGGACCTGTTCCTACCAGAATGCTTAACACTATGAACACTTGTTACAGAATTCTAGTATGTTTTGCTGGAAGTTCAGAAGCTCACAGAGATAGCCCTATGTGGTGAAAGCCTCTGAGCATGAGAAGGGTGTGTAGGAAAAAGTTACAAAGTGCTGATTGCCCAGCTGTCCTGCAACTTCCTTCGTGAGGTGAGTGACAATAATTTCTTGTGCAGCTGTGTCCTTAAGCCTTGTCTTATAATGAAGAAGACTTTCTGTTGAAGAAGTTCAGCAGAATGACTTTATGGCAGAAATTAGAACTGAAATGTTGGGAGTGAGATCAGCCTGATGACTGTGTTCTCATCAACAAAAGCAAAGTGGAAATCCTAAAGTAAAAAGTTTGGTGTGAGTAGCTTATTAAAAGCAGTGCGTGACTGCCAGTGTGTCCAGGAGGAGTCTGTGCTTTTCCATGTTTGGCTTTTGGGGGTGATACTGTGGAGCAGTTCAGAATACAAGGACTGGAAATGTTCAAAGACTGGCGAAACATGAAAGCTCAGAACCTTATATGCAAAATGCTGTTTCACTGTGAAGTCTTGGAAAAACCAACACTACTGGAAAGTTGAGTAGTGCAAGTCAGCATGAGATTCAGTGGTACCAACAAGGCATTAATAAAAATTGCATGTATTATCAAAGTTGCATATATTTCTTCAGTGCTGAAACTGTGGTTTGTGTAACCTACATACCAAAGGGCATGCTTTGAAGCCAGGGTCTTCTTGGTCAATATTGGAAATGTGATGCAAGAATGATCCAGTACTGAGAAACCATTTACAGAGACTAAATCGAAAGTGAAATTCAGAGTGCAAACTTAAGTTTCAAGTTGAACTGAAGATATGACTGATGGTCTTGTAAATTAGAAAAGGTCACAATATTACACCACATGCTAGAGAGTGGTGTTTGTGTTGAATACTTTGTGAAAGAAAAAGGATCTATATATAGATTGTATAATTGTGTGGTGTTTGCAGTAGCAGCTTTCAAAATGTGATTGCAGCTCTGGGAAAGCAGACTGATTATTTGGCAGCTGCTCACGAAGACAACATGACAAGCTCTTAAGCCAAGCTGTGCAAACTGAGCTGAGTCAAGTTCTGAAGGTAGTTTGTGATCCAATAGCTGTCCATGCTGAAGACAGCTGCTGGGCAATCACTTTCTGAATATCTATCAGACTGGTTGATCTGGAGGAGTTTAAAGAATATATGCCACTTCCTGATGAGAAATTACTCAAGTAACTTTTTGGGAAAAATTAAACTGAAGATGGTTCAGTATTTTGCATGAACATGTTAAAATAGGATCCACTACATCACTGTTTGTTTCCTTGCAGGAAAGAATGTAACAGAAATCTTCAGTGAAGTGATGGAGTTCCTTCAAGTTTGTCACAATGCCCTTGAAAACGCTAGAATGGGAAAGTTTCATGCATTGAAATATGAAAATCTACTTGAGCAACATGAAAAACACAGACACACACATGCTTTACCAGTGCTGTTGATGGAACATGAACTAGTGAAATCCATCCCAGACCTTTAACATCACAGACACTGGAGGTTTTTGCGAGGCTGAAGAATAAGATGGGCACTTACATGAACCTGTCAGACACTGGGAAGAGAAATGTATGTGTAATCCACTGAGTAATGATCTAATAACAGGGATGCTGCTTGTTTTTCAACATAAAATTACTAAATCTTATCTTTCTATTATTGGTTTACTGTTCTTTTAAACTGTCATATAACACACAGACATATGTGTGCATGAGTTACTACTGCAAAACTTTCTGTTGATTCCCAACAGCTAGAAAGTGTTAGTACTGCCACCAACTTGTAGTTAGGGTCTGAAATCTTGCTTAGGTGGGCAAAGAGCCTCTCTTGCATGTAGGCTTTTTAAAAATTGGATTTGCAGATCTTAGCTTTTGACTTTTTTCCAAAGGGATGAGGGAGAAGCTGATCCTTGTAACTTTGTACCGGTCTCAGGGATCTAGGGGATGTTACTGAAAACTGCTGTGTGCTACATGTGTCCAATCTCACATTGTGTTTACTTTTTTCCCCTAGGAAGAATTGTTAGAAACAGCCTGAGACCAGTGGCAGTCTATGCAAGATGGCTGCGTAAGAAACAAAAAACTCTTAAAAAGATGGAATATTAACCCTGCATGTACACAGGGTGCTTTTAACTGTATTGGGGCAGTATCTGGTAATGTTTATGTAGACAAAAAATAAAGATTTATGTTTCTGTTCTCAGAATTTCTATCTTTCCCAAGCTATAATAGCAGTTGCTTCTGTTTGACAGTTTTGACTTCCTCTACGTTGTTTTTGGGATACCAGTTCACCCCTGTGGACTAAATAAAACCTAGGAGTTAAGTGGATGGGAAATGATCACTGAAACCATGGTCTTCTGTAGTACTCAGAGATTGGGTTAGCTGAGATGTGTATTGTGGTGAGGAAAAGTAGAAATTAAAACTCAGCAAACCTGGGTTTAAAAATAGCAGGAAAGGTATTTCTCCAACTCCAACAAAACTGCAAGCTTGGTTTATTATTACCTTGATCAGCTGCATAATATGGTACTTCAACTAAACTTGAAGTAGAGAGAAATACTGTAAGGATAACAACTGGAATTCCTGCTTGTTTTTTCAGAAAGACTTACTAATTTTATCAGAAGAGCAAATGCTGAAATTATGTATCTTGCAATGTCTGATTTTTCAGCACTGAATATAAGCAAATTACTAATGCAAAGTCTAAGCATAAGTTAGTTTTTGGTTTGGAAAAAAGGGAAGGAGGTTTAGAGAAGAGTAATTTTTAGTGATCCAACATGTAATTATTGGATGCCCTTGAAAGCTTAGGCTTTCTGTTAAGGATTATACTCCCTGAAGATACCATCTGTTCAGGAGTTTTGCTCATGGGTCTTTGTTCTTAAAGTGCAAGACTGGCAGGAGTAGCTTTTAAGACTTTTTTTTTTAAACTCTAGAGAGCAACAGCTAATGCCAAGTTTTAATGATGGCTATCATCTAAACTGTTAATTCCTTTTCAACAAGAAAAGCTGTAGAATTTTAAGCTTCAGTGTGTAATACCTGTTTCATAGTGTGGTGGAACAAAGGAAAAATGAGGTAGAGGGAGGAATGGGTGGGTGTAAGGGGCACTGATTACTAAAATAGTTACGCTGGTAAACATTAAGTATGGTGTTAAGCAGTAGGACTGCCTTTTAGTTTTTATGAGTGGCTAACTGGACTGTACCCTTGAAAAAAAACTCAAAACTCTTTAATTTTTCTTCCCCCTTCCTCTGTTTTCCATGAACACAATGTCTGACAGACTGTTGAAGTGGATAGTATTAAAAAGTAGAAAGGAGGACAGATTCTGAGGTGGTCTAGGGGAGAAAGAGAACAAAGATCTGTACACTAGGTTGTTGTTGCACCAACCTTCCTTTTTGTTATTGCCTCCAGTGTTCTGTGGAAGAGGGCTCTCAGTATTAAAGGCTGCAGATCGGAACTCTTGAGAGGTGGGCACAGAAAGGAAACTGGCTTGTTCCAAACTCCTCTTTAACCGTTTAGCACACTTTATCCAAGTTGACGAGGGCTAGCTCTATTAGATGAAAACAGTCTGTATCCGCGGGTGACCTGTGGGGGGCATTCTTGAATGTAAATCTGTTACCTCTTTTGCCTAGCAAAGGGACTCATTTGTAGTAAATTTAACAGCATTTTATGAAAAATGTCAAGTATGTTCCAATATCCTCATTGAGGAAAAAACTGTGTAGTCCTAGCTATTTTTGAGATCTTAACATTACAGTGAGTAAGGTGTATCATTTAAATTGTTACCAGCTGGGGGGGGGGCAGTGGTTTTCTTCACTCTTATATTAGCTCTGGCTGAGATGGAGTTAATTTTCCACATAGCAGCCCTGGTAGTGCTGTGCTTTGTATTGGTAGCTAGAAAGGTGTTGATAACACACCAGTGTTTTGGCTACTGCATCAAGGCTCTCTCCCCACCATTTCCCCCTGACCCAGTGGGCTAGGGGTGGGCAAGATCTTGGGAGGGGACATAGCTGGGACAGCTGACCCAAACTGACCAAAGGGATATTTGATGTCTGCTCAGCAATAAAAGCTGAGAGAAAGGGGAGGGGGCGGGCATTCATTACTATGATGTTTGTCTTCTGGAGCAACTGGTAGGCATACTGAAGCCCTACTTCCCGAGAAGTGGCTGGGTATCACCTGCTAATGGGAAGTAGAGAATAAATCTTTTGTTTTCCTTTGCTTCTGCATGTGGCCTTTGCTTTTGCTTTATTAAACTGCCTTTATCTTGACCCATGAGAGTTTTTTTCCATTTTATTTTCTCTCCCCCTGTCCTGCTGAGGAGGGGAGTGATCAAGCAGCTTGGTGGGCACCTGGTGCCCAGCCAAGGTCAACCCACTGCAATTCTTACCAAGGAGACAAATACAGGAGAGAAATTAAAAGAGGCACATTAAGGAGAAAGCATCTGCCACACTGGCTCTGCATCTGTACATTTGGTTTGACAGCTTATGTAGTCTGCTGTTGTTTTCTGGTGATTTTCAGGTAAGAAAGGAAACTGTAGTATGGATATATACTGGAAGTATAAAACTTACACTGACAACTTTCTGCTACCAGGAAAAATACTTAATCTGGAGAAGCTGTATCATCAAGTGGATTTTAATTGGTACTACACCTGTTTTTACCAGATGGTGTTGTCAAATGAATCTGTTTTTGAAGGCTTTGCTCCTTTGTGTAATGTAAATAAGACACACAGGCAACCATGGAATGCCCTAAAAATTCAAGTTTTACTTGACTTTTAAATAACCTGGACACAAGTATTGACACAGCCATCTATCAAACTCGATTTAAAATAAAGCAGTTGCTTCATGAATACTTAATGTACATAGAACATACGCATCACATTGATATGTTTATGTATGTTGTTTTCAAACATCTTTCTAGGGAGCTTTGGATTAAACAGGCTTTCCCAAAAGAAAATGTGCTATCTCTTCAGTTCAATATTCACCTGTATAAAGATGATTGATTTGGCAACTTAAATGGTAGTGGCTCCCCCCCCCCCCCCCCAAAACGTCTTCAATATAATGAGCTTGATTAGAATACAAGTTGCAAGGTTATGGATATTGGTAAAAAGTGCAGTGTAGAAAACAGCAGGTCAAGGCTAGCTCCTAATGAAAGAAACTAGCTAACAAGCAAGGGGACTAACATGGGGTATACAAAAATGCTTTTGCAGTGTGGTTTGCAAGCCCTCTTTATTGTATAAAATAAATGTCTTGCAAAGAGGTATATCTATGTTGTAGGTGTTGCTAATTAATAAGTGAGAGAGTTCCATAACTTACCTATTCTTAGCACTTACTGAAGTCTCAGAAGAGCTAAATGCAGAGGCAAAGTTAAAGTTGGTGGCCTGAGAGACATTCAGCAGACTAGAAGCAGAATTAGGATGAGAACGTCTCAAATACCAGTCCTTTGTCCATGTGAGGACAGGTCTGTATGGCATCCAACCCCAGGGTGAACTTTGCCTGACACGGTTATACAGCTGTCTTTTGTCTGACTCATCAGGAGGTACAAGCGTTTTGGACTGACATCCAAACCCCAGGTCTGAAAACATAACTTGCTTCTAGGCAGTAAAAGCCCCAAGAAAGCCGGGGAAGGGTAGCAACAGTGGAAAGGGCAAGGTGTAGCTCAGAGTTGTGAGAGGCCAGCCACTTGCAGGTGTTTTAGGGCTGTTTTAGGGCTACAGAGCATAGCTATGGCACAGTAAAAGTGCTTTCAGCGATCACTTGTAGGTTTCTCTCACATAAAAATAACAAGATCACAAGAAAAGGTGCCTTTCCTCAAATGATTGAGGAAAAGAAGCTTGAAGGGAAAGGAAGCTCACGTATATGGAAGAAGTTTCTGTACTATTAGCTGACAATGACATCCTTGTCCTAGTTTTGCCTTGTTCTGCCACTAATGCTTAACATGTAATACAGGCGTTAAGCTTAGTCTTTCTTTTGGACAAAGGCTTGCTAAAGCCTGTTTCCTACATAGTCTCATTGGAGATAAGACCACTAACTCAAATCCGCAACTCTTTCTGTAAATTTCTCATTTAAATGCAAAAAAGTTGGCTTGATTACGAAACAACTCTCCTGTGACTTGAGAATTGAAACCTATCAATATTAGACTAGATAGAAGCCTATTTTCTGATGTAGTGGATAAGTAAAATACCACACACTTGGCTGATGGTATCCAGCAATAATACACAAAAGCCCATAGGCACATGACAACATACAGGAAAACATGAGGTTGGATATAAACCTTACAAGTAGTTTTCTTCTTGATCAATACCTGACGATTGGCAAGATACGGACACTAGGTACAGATAATTCTCAAATAATAGCAACACAAATCCTCCTAAAGTAGTAGGTATGTTCTACTTGCCTGTGCCTGAGTAAGGAATGCAGAATAATGGTAATGATTTAGAAAGCAACAAACTACAAGCAAGTGCATAATGCTCCAGCTTGGAACACCTTGAAGAAATAAGGAGTGGCTTTCATTGCAGACACTGTAACCAGTTCTTGTGTGGTTTGTCGTATTTCAGTAGTCTCCCAAAATATTGTGATGCTCTAGATTAATCTGTATCACCACAATCTTTGCAGCAGTGATGGGTTTTTTTTTGTGTTGTGTTTTGTTTGTTTGTTTTTTTAACTGGTGCTTGTGAGAATACTACACAAGGTCATCATAAATAGATCCTAAAGGATCACTTTAAATTGGAGCAATGACAATGAAACCATTTAACAGACTTACAAAACAGTTTGAGCAAAGACTTTAAGCCAAGCCCAACAATGTCCTAGGATGAAATCCATAGTAAATTCAGAAAATGCTGAAGAACCTCCATGAAAACAGAATTTTTATCACAGAGGGGTTCTAAGGTCTTTCTTTCCCTTAGATTTGTTCACTGAGACTGAAGAAGCAGAACTGTCCAAAATAAGTGATCAAATAAAAATACTTATGAAATGAATCTGCCTTCCCTGTCATGATGCAGCATCTCCCAACCTGCAGACCAATCCATACTGTGATAGGAATACACAAACTGTATGGCTACCATCCTGGCTAGTAGCATCCACCTGACCACCTCAGACCATGAAACAACAAAGAATCAAAAAAAATGAAGTGGAAAATAAAACACATCATACAAGGTTTCACTTCTCAGTTTTGTTAGTTAAAATGTGTATTAGTAATCCCACACCTCTTGTAAAGCATAAGTTAGATGCCTTATGCTCACTCCAGTTCTCAAACAGTATTGCTCTTCTGACAGGGCTACAGTCCCCTGGTATGGTGTTGCTAGGGGTAGAAAACACAGGATCACTGCCAATCGCTGAAGGTGGTGGGGGTTGAGTTTAAGGACGACAGATGTAAAAAGACACATGAACTACTACAGGCATTTCCAATACTGTTTGACAAATTCAATATTTAGTTTGGGGATTACACTTAGCAAGAGTTACTTTCACAACACAAAGATTTTAATAAGCTTCTTAATAAGTTAGCAACGCCAGAAGGCTCATCCATGTACTGACTGTGGACAAATGGGAGGCGGAGGAATTATTTCAGCTATTTGTACAAAGTGACAGGACAGGAGAAGAGCTAGGCATCACTTCAGATACATACTAGAAGATAACCCACTCAATGTGCAGCATCATTAAAACTTACTATTACTACCATGACAATAGAAAAAAAATTGCAATTATCATACCTGAAATACTGCCTTTGTCATTTTATCATAGTAGAAATGGCTCAGAGAAAAGTATAGCAAGGTACTAGCATTGATTATTTCATATGAAAAGAGATTAAGGCAGACTTTGCTAATCTAGTTTTTTTTAAAAAAAAAAAAGGCTATTTGCTACCTGTCTTAAATCCTACTCTACAAGTTTCATTTAACCAGTACTTAAGTGTCTTGCTAAGCAGTCTTAATACAGTAAGTCAGTACACATTCTCCAGGTTTTTTTCCAGTGTGGTTTACTATAAGGTGATAGATGGATGCATTTCTATGATATGGAATGTTCAATTAAATAGTCCCTTTACATGAAAGGACATTCAAACTTGAGAACACTTAAAACTGCCAAGGGAAAATAAGTCTGTACCACCTCTGGAACTCTCTGCTACAGGGTGTTACTGAGTCTATTATTTTTGAGCTAAAACAGGTTGAGTCAACATTTGTACTAACAACACGAGCATCTGTTGTGCTAGGTTAAAATAAACCTTGTAAGAGCTATCAGTCCTTATGTCTCAGGACACAAGTTGATCCCCATATAAAATTGTGAAGATAATTCTCCCCATATCACACTGTATTGCACAATTGGCCAAAAATACGACTATTTTGCTTCTCTTGAAGCATCTGGTCCTGATCATGTCAGTTAACAGTCATTTTTTGGAAGAAGGCTATTCAGTTACAGACCAGACCATAAAGCCTGTTTTCTTGCAGCAATTTTTTTTGTTCATTTTTTGGAAATGTAACTGCTGATCATTCAGTTTTACTACGACTTTTCTTTTTGGTTGTCTAATTAGGCAGCTTCTCCTCGATCAGTCACACCACTAGAACAGTGTCGGTGATAAAAGCATTGCTTGGCCTTCCCAGCAAGCAGTCTGCGCTTCGGAGTGTCCTGAAGAAATTGCTACCATGTCGACTTCAGTTCCTTCCCTTGCACACACACACAAATTCTCAGTTTCCAAAGAATAAAATCCATTCACCATCTTCAGTTACGGCAGTCAAGTCTCCACCTTGAAGCGTGACACCTGTACAGTTTTTACGATCTTACTGGTGGATTTTCCATCAATGTTAGCAGATAGCTGAGATGTTTCTTCTATTAGGCTGTCTTTAGAGCCGTTCTGTCTCTGAAAGGAACAAATTAAAACGTGTTTTTGAAAAGATATAGCAGAATTTAAATACTGTATTTTGATAACTGCTGCTATGACAGCCTTAGGCTAAGGATATAGCAATTTTTATATATATATATATATACACACACACACACACACACAGAGGAATATTAAAGTCTCTACATTCATTTGATCAAACGGAACTTTTTCCCCCTCTTGCCTCCTCCCTCCCCTGCCAGCTGCTGCCCCTTTGTGCTATTTGGATTCATATTCCCTATTAAGGAAATGCCACAACTAATTATTTGATATTTAGCAAAACACTGCAAGCAAGCGCTGACAGCGAATTCATGGGCACTGTTGTGAGGGGGTCTGCGGCAGAGGGAGAAGAGAAGTGTCTGTGGACACTGAACATGGTTACATTAATTCCTTCCAGGGCATGAATTTAAGCCACACTGTGTTGGATAAGAATGGAAATAAGCCAATGTGAATTTTGAACAGGACTCAATCACACAAGTTACCTATTTCTACAAAGCACGTAAATGTGCTTAGCCTTAAGTATACCAACTTCCCCTTCACTGCTGGAGCAAGTCCTTACAGAAACATGAAGGACAGCTCATCTTTTTCAATTTCGATCATATGCAGGAATACAAATATCCTTGAACGTCATTCCTATCAAAGAACAGGTAGTCTGTTAGCTAGCCTTAAAGTGAAAAAATATCTGTTTATTGTTTTAAAATTGTTCAAGCTTAAGTTATTCTAACTGCTTATAAGATAAAATATGACGTATTTTTCTGATTGTATTCTGTGCAGTTTCCACACTACATACAGTATCAGCATGCGGTTTTGGTATATCCACATGCCAGATTAACAGATGTGGTGACTGGTGTAGGAAGTTAGGTAGAAATGTGTCTGGAATCCTCCCTTCCATGTTTTGGTTTTCCTTTTGTGTGCTTGTACAACAGTCGTGCAAGTGCTTTTTTAATATCATTTGCTTCTCACATTTTCAGCTTAATAAAACTATCGAAGTTGAGAGATATGGTGCCATAATTTATGATGAAAGCAAGTGATTACATTTAAAAGACAAGTTCTATCCTTTTTAGATTTGAGTAATGTAAAAAACTATTCAGCATTTGGGGAGGGAAAAAAGAAAAAAAAAAAAAAGCAATGCTTCAAACCCAAGCAACAAAACTCTAAGAAAAAGCTCTAAGAAGAGGTGAATAAATGATAGTAGGTTATGATTACAACTGCATCCTAAGCACACTTGCATATTTTAAGAAATTGTGAAAGTTGATTCTTCTCCCATGGAGAGCAGGGTATTATCTTAAGGAA